CCTGGGGGTCTTCAAGAGGAGGTTAGATAGGCATCTAGCTGGGGCCATCTAGACCCAGCACTCTTTCCTGTCTATGCAGGGGGTCGGGCTCGATGATCTATTGAGGTCCCTTCTGACCCTAACATCTATGAATCTATGAATCTGCAACTAGCCTCTTATTGTGAACACCTTCAACCTTCTCATAAGGAAGGTCATAGAGAAAGAGGGCCATTGTGGCAAAACTGTTTAATGTGGTTGATGATTTTCTGCTACTTGATTATGTTTCAGCACTTCAGGAGTCTTTGATGATTTGATTTTGAAATATGGAAAGCAGAAAAGGAATAAACAAATGGAGAAAAGCAATAAAGAGCAGTTAAGATATATTTTAATGTATTTAATAGAAAGCTGAAACAACTGTATTCCATGTAAACAAGCAATATGTGCACAGAAGGAATAAGGACATCTGCTTCCAATGAAATTTATTCTTCTCTATGGCTGGATATAGCAAGACTATAACTCACTATGTGGTCTTAGAATAAAAAAAAATACAGAAAAATAGGGCTGAAAGGAACTTCAGGAGGTCATCTAGCTCAACTCCCTGTTCAAGGCAGGATTATTCCAGTCTACAGCATTCCAGAGAACTGTTTGTCTAACCTGTTCTTAAAAATTTCCAAAGATGGAGATTACACAGCCCCTCTAGGTAAACACTGATTCATGAAGGACATATTGTAACCTTTAAAATCACCAGTCTATATCAAACACCAATTGTAGGAAGCTATCTAGTACACCATAAAAACAGAAAAACAGAAAGATGTTTCATCTTTCTCTCTCAGTCTGCATATTATATTCCTTGTATATGAAGTATTTTAATGATTTAAAGTTACAATTGTCCTAGAGAGATTTGTTAACCAGTTCAATGGAATTCATAAAACAGGATAATTGGAATGTTAATGCTTCAGGCATTCAAAGTCTATTGCACGCAATGGAAATCTTTCCAAAGCCTCAGTGGGAGGTGAATCAGGCCCCAGGGCTGTGAAAATTAAAAATTACTTTATCAGACAAAAATTACTTTATTGACTTAATTCAAAAATAACATGGAGTAAAAAACAGGAATGCTGACAATATGATTTATATGTTTTATCCCTGAGTCTTGAAAGCTAGGCACTTATGGATTTCTCTGATTATTTAAGCAGGTATTGGTATAAGGAACCTACATTAACAGAGCATATTAGCCCAGGAGCTATGAAACATCCACAAAAGAATTTAAAATGTCTTTAGCTAATAAAAAGGATGTTTGGGTTCTGTCTGATTTTAAAAACATGGTAATGATTCTTGATTCTGGTAATTTTGAAGACAGATATTTTAAGTGCTTTAGAAATATATCTATTCTCAAATTAATAATCTAATCAAATAATTTGTTGAAATAAAAAGAAAGAACATTGAGATTTGAGGCCAAATGTATTTTATTTTCAGGATATTTTTGATTGTAATAAAATTTACCTTTTCAATTTGATTCTGTTCTGCAATTATCTCATAGCCATCCTGCCCTGTGCAATTCTTAAATGCCAAAATTCTGAGTGAGGACTTCTCAACAAGCCTCTTCATGCCATAGGAAAGTACAGGCTTGGTTTTCTTTCTCTTGACACCAGCAGGAAAAACCAAACCATTCACTGTCCAGATTATTTTCTTCATTAATGACAGATGGTCTGGAAGAAAACAGAAAAAAAACATAAAAGTCAATATTTGGCTTCAAAATTAAAAATGGACACATCATGCTCCCCTTCCCTATTACCTTAATAACACACACTGGCCTGCCTCCATATAGTATTTTTTGAAATACTACCACCAGCTTCCCACTAACCGTGACATAAGCTGTAGCAAGCTGTCTGCACTGATAGCCTGCATAAATCATCATTCCTGAAGGGAACAGATGTTCAGGGTATGAAAGAGTAATACCACAATTTAGTCATAATTAAAATTCACCTTAGCATGCCTCTATCAGTAATCAGAGAGGAACATTTCACTTCTCACCTACAAAAAACAAATGCTTCTCATCTCTTCAGCTTCAGAAAAATTATGCCTGCACCTTTTTTACACTGTTTTAAGGTTCACATCTGATACCACATTATCCAAAAGGTGTTTTTATTCTACTTTAACAGTTGGTTTCCTTACCACGCCTTTTTTGGATACCTAAGATGATGGTCTCTATATAAAATACATTTGCAGGTAAAAGCAATAAACCTGAACCCTTAATGAGTGCAATGTAGTTTTATATGGAAAGCCAATTATAGGAAATACCTTGCCACAGAATGTGTCAGTAAAGACACTATTTTTGTCAGCAACAGTTTAGTCTAATCCATATTTTCCAAAATAATAAACCACTAAGTTTAAAGTTATTCAGTGATCATTAAGTGCCTAAATCCAATAAATCCAAATAAAAATCTGGTCTTTAACTTTCTAGCTCCATTAACATTAATGGGAGTTGTGTAACTACGAAATTTACTTGAATACAAGATGAGCCCCAATAATTAGATTCTATGTATGGAAAATTAATACGTTTGCTGTAATTTTCCAGGTATAGAATCTAATTATTGGAGGCTTGCCTTGAATGTATGCCCCTCCTACTACTACAGCAGGGAAAATAAATCTGGGGGATGACGTAGCCCCCTTGCTCTCTGCTGTCCACTCACTAGAACTGGGTATTCTTGCTGAGTCCTGGGATCCTCCAAAAATGTATACACAGATGGGGCACAGGGCAACATGGTCCAGCTCCAACTACTGAAGGGCAGACCATGTTGCCCTGTGCCCCATCTGTGTATATATTTGTTATAATCATGTGTGACAGGATGAGAGAGGTGAACTGTTTGGGGCCCCATTTTGTGATGTTTGCCAGACATTTAAGGCCGGTGAAGAATCAGGAATCACTGGAAATGGGGAAAAAAGGTGCAAAACAGGAATCATTGGAAATGGGAATGAAAGGTGTAGCTCTGTTGTGGAAGTGAAGAGGAAGTCAAAATATATGCAATGTAGCAGCACACTGACTTGAAAAGGAGTGACCACTGAGGGGGTCTGCATTCAATGGGCTCTATTATATATTTTATTTAGATGGGCTTCACTATAACCTTTTCTTGTGTTAGGTTCCCATCAGCAACTCAGTCTTTTTGGCTAAGATCAAATGTAACATTTTTGGCACCAAAGGGAGGGTGCCAGAGCTGGCTCTGGCCTTCCTGGTGCTGGGTTGGTATTGCAGTGCCTCCAGGCCTGGTGTCAGTGTGGAGGGAACATCTGCATCTTTTTTCAAAGGGGACAGACAATGTATTGAATCATGTGTCCTTTTTTGTGAATGTGAGATGAGAGGCTTTTTCCCCATGCTGTTTGGGAGAAAAAAACCTTGTCTTTTATTCAAGTAAAATGGTAAAGAATAAGCGGTATGTCTCAGATGTTCTAAAGAGTGGCTCTGGGCCCACTCTCAGGATCGCTAAGGTAGCTCTCATTGTGGAATCTGGCATGCATGGTGTAGGAGTGGGCAGGGCACATGTCTCAATGCAGAAGGAGCATAGATCACTTCATATCACTTTGAAAAGGTAAACATTTCATTACACTTATTAGTCCTGGAAAATGTTAAAATGAACAACACTATTGTATTTTTCAAGACTGGGTTTTAATTCATAATTCTTTTCCATCACAAACAATAGAACTTATTTTATTACAGAATATAAAGAACCCACCAGAATAAAATAGCAGTGCTTCTCAAGACAATCAGCATTCATAATAAAAAAACAGCAAAACTTCTTTTCTCAAGGACATTGATACCTACAATGAATCTAAACAAAACTTTACATATTAGGAAGTTTTGTTTTCCAAACAAATATTCTCAGGGTTTGTACAGATGTTTGCTGCATCTGGTCTACTTTCACATGGATTACTTTAAGCTGCCTAAACATAGACCAGGAGCAGCACATACAGCCACTTGCCATTCCCAGGAGCTGTGCAAGTAACTTGGGGTGGGGGGAGGGGCAGCTGGGATTGCGGGGAGGTTGCTAGCCAGTCTGTGGGTGTGGGGATCCCCCCACAATAGCCCAGTCTGGGTCAGGACGGTAAGAATAGCACAGCTTTGGTACTTTGCTGCAAATGCATACAGGCAGTTAGGAGATTGGGTAACCCTTTCCTAGATCAGGTTAACCCAATCTTGGTCTAAATTAGTACACCTCTTGATAATTATTTTGCACTTGTGGTTGGTCTTACTTTGCATGTGTGGCTGGTATAAATTTATTGTGCAATTAACCAGTTATTTGTGTAATATATGTAATATGTAGCAGGGGCCTAAATTCTTCAACTTATAGCCAGATCCTCAGGTAGTGTAAATTGGGTTAGCTCAGTTGATTTCAGCAGAGCTACACTGATTTACAGCAACTTATGTTCAAAGCTAATAAATCAACTAATCTAATGGTGGCCATTGAATAGCCATGGGCATTTTGGCAAATCTGTTACCAACCTAAAATGGATTTAATTTTAAAGCCTTTGACATTCTGGGCAGTTTTTGGTTTTCTGTCTCATTAGTATACTTGCTCTCTTTCAGAGGCTGCTTGTATCCATGCAAGAACTCATGACTTTCCTGGTTTTTTCAGTTTTGAAACAGCCATCTTTAAGGCAGATATAGGAACTAACATTGGCAAGGTATAGTTTTGTGACCTTTGGCACTTGCTGTGAAAATCCATCTAGTTTTGGCTAAGTATGGGTAATGGGTGTGCACGTACATAAGAAGGTTTTGCTTGCTGCTAAAATCCCTGAATAGTCTGTCTGTACCAAACAGGTTTCAGTTCCATGAAGCTCTATAAATGCCAGTTGCATTGTGATCCCAGGCTCCACTCAGTTTCTTGTACAGCACAGAGCTAAAATGCAAGATTGGACTTAATAATCAGTCATAGTGGTTCTCACCTCCTTTGGGCTAGGTGAAGCTGTTCTAGGTTGGGAGCCAGGAGGAGTCTGTCACCGAATGGTATTACTAATACTGGGCATGTCTACACATGCGGCAGACTGTGCAACCGTTACTGTCCAGTCACTTCATACTTGCTTAAGCAAGTGAGCATGTCTACATTAGACAAGTATGAGCAAGTGGGTACAGCTATACAAGTACTAAATGACTGTGCAGTAACCAGCATTACTGTGCAGTTCTGATGCCGCATGGCTATATTTAGCAGCTACTGTGCAGTAGCAATAAAATACCACGCAGTAGCGTCAGCATCACAGTTCATGCCTGGTAGTATGTTGCCATAGCAATGAGCTATGGTGATGTAGCATCTCATGTAGACGCTCCCACTGTGTGCTTAACAGCCCTTAAAGAAAGGCCTCGTACGCCTACCTTGGGAGACAAGTGTCATTCCTTACAGTTTATTAAAAGAGTACCTGAGAAGTTGGATGAGATCATATCTGTGGACTCTTTGTTGAACTGGTCTGCTAAGCCAGGCTGTAAATCTTGTAGATGCAAAGATACATCTTAAGCCATTACAGCTTAATATGGTGATAAATGGACCACAGATGAACAGTTTCTTTGCGAAGATGGAATGACTGCTTAGACCTCGGTTGACATAATACTGTTACAGCATTGACTATCTTTAGCTAGATTTTCAGCCCACTTAGCATGAAAGAAATGTTGTGTATACTAGGTGAATTTCCCTGAGTTCTACAACATTTTTCTTAGTCTTTTCAACAGTTCAGAGACCTTGGTTTTGTATGCAGTCTAGTTGAGCTTCCTACCCAGATATGAAGGCATCCATATCCAGCATTCTGCCAGACAGAAGTGAGGGGAAAAGCTACTCAATTATATGCCTGGACCTGCACCCTTGTGTCCATGTGATGTTTTTGGGGGCAGATGCACAAATTCAATCACCCATGCATGAAGCTTATGTCAAGTCTGCCATTTTGATCTAAATGCATGAATCTATATGATTTGGGAATCTGAAGTGAGCACTTACAAATATTTGTGGATGAGATTTCTGCTGTTTGAAGAGATCTAATATGTTCCTGAATCTCTCCTGTGGATCTAGCACAGACTTTATAATTTCTATTTCCTGGGCCAGCAAGAATTATAAAGTTCCTTTGTTTATCCTGAGATACACAGTAGTGACAAGATGTAGATTAGACAAATGGAACTGTTGAGTTGCTATGAGACAACTTTGGGAATCTAGATATGGCATAATGGTGATTTGGGTTACCATTCTAAATATGAAATGATGGATGAACTTGCTGAGACATCTCAAATATGAGTGGATACATGTTCCCTTTCTTCTTTTGGATTAGAACATATTCTGACTAATCCCCCATTTCCTCTGAACTCCAGAAGCATTTCTTATTTTAGGAGTACCTCAAGTGAGAAGGTTGCTAAAAAAATAGTGGTTGGGGGGAGGTGGGCAAGGGGAATGGAACGGAATACTCCATATTTATAATCTCTCAGATTCAGAAATTTAAGGCAATTTGATTCCAAGATCCTCTCAAATGAAAAAGGCAGTTTCCAAAAGAGGGAGGAGAGGAGGAAAGTACAAGTCTTCCAAGCACTCTATTCAGTTCTACACGGCAGTCTAATTTGCTACTATGAGATGGACATACCATGTACAGTAGAAGAGAAAGAGCCTTAGTACAAGCTGCCTTGCAAAGACTAATTTCTTTCTCAGCTTCCTCAGTAGCTTTGGTCATGCCTACAGTGCTC